TTATTATTGTTGTTGTTGTTGTTGTTATATCAGGCTATGAAAACAGAAAACGTTTTCTATAGCTTATAAATGGCAGTGCTAATCATAAATGTTTTGCAGGTAGATGGGCCTATGGGAGGGGGGAAGTAGCGGGTTATAAATGGCAGGGTCTATAAGCGGCAGTTTACGGTAATAAGATTGGCTGACTAAGGGTGGATTCATTTACAACATACGCGTATAGCTGTCACGTTTGCCCGCTGTAATTTTTTATTGTTTCTAAGCCTAAAAACAATAAAAAAATTCCACCGGGAAACTGCGACAGCTATACGCGTATGCTGCAAATGAATCCACCCTAAATGACTGATTAATTGTGTCGTGCAATTTTGGTTTGGAAACATACCTGCGATTTTAAATCGGACTCGCGCTGCGCGCTGGGAGGATTTTAAAATCATGCCTATGATTTCAGACCAAACTGCACTCCACTCAGTTCAGTTAACGTTATGTATGTCAGTTTAGCTATGTTATTGTTATCATTAGCGTTATCATTGTCGTTATCATATTTATCAAATTGTTTTATCAAGGTTGGACAATGGTGTTTAAGACTGTAGGCGGTGTGGACAAAAAATGTCCATCACGTCCACGAATCTGATCATACGTCCGCCGAGGATAAAGAGGACGTTCTTTTAAGAGCTTCCTTTTTATTCTCGGAGGACGCATGATTTAGTGCCAGCAATGGGCACCAAGACCTCTACAAGAACAGCATAATTTTGAACTGAGATGCCAACGAGTCACTAACCCTTCTCCGATAAAAGGACAAAGGGTTTTTTCTTAAATGAGATCTCTCTCTACAAATTACCCACCCAAGCCAAGACAAAGGGTAGAACACTTAGTGCCAGTTATTTTAAAAAACGGAATTTAGCTACTGTTTAACAAAACCGCGTTTTAAACAATTTCCAGTTTGCCCAATTATCTTTAATACAGTGCGACTAACCGGCGCCACCTAGACAAAGTTGACCAATCGGATTACAGGAAAATAACAATACAGTTCGAGAAAGTTAGTTGTCAATCACAATCGAAATCAACAATCATGGATCGAAATCAACCAATTACAACCTACAGACGTGACCTTTTGAACCCGCTGAAGAAATCCCGAGCTTCCTGAGAGGTCTAGCCTGCGAAGCGCAGACGCATTTCCGGTCGTCGCTTCTCTCCCTCCGAAAAATAGCGTCTGCGAACCCGAGCGGCAAAACGATTTCCGTGACGTAAAACCTTTTTAGCCAATCACGATTTAGCTCTTAAAATCAAGGAACTAACTCGCGAGACTTCTCGCAGGATCGTGCGCGGTGGATATGTTTTCAAGTCGAAATTGAAAGGATGACGTGGCTTGTGTATAGCCGTCCTTTTTTCTCAGAAGGACGCGTTTACGAAAGTTAATTTGCCAGGATTGTGGGACTGATTGACGAAATAAGTATCAAGAGGATTCATATCGAAGAAAAGATTAGAGGACAATTTCCATCTATTTGCCTACGGAGTCATTGATTTATCACACCTTGTTGTTTTGATCATATTCGAAACGATAAATGTCCTAATGACAGAAGACGCATCATGCCGTTTGTTGCTTCTGTTCCTCTCTGGTTCCTGACAGGAAAGTGTGCCTTGGAGAACTCTTCGATAGTTTGTCGTGTGCCGCTTTAGATATTTTTAGTAGATATCCTTTATCTTTGAAAGGTAGGACATGTGGTAATTGATTTTCCATGCGTGGTTGCTTCTTGGTTCAGATAGAACTTTGATCAGATCGAAAGCATTTTATATTTGTTCCGGTATATTTCTTTAAGTACATGTTCTTTTCAAGGTTCTCATTTCCATAGTTTTTTGTGAGATGAGTCGAAGCGTCGTAGCTGAAATGTCATTTTGACTATGATCTATTTACTGCTGTAACTATTTATTTCACGCTGGGTCTGGCCCAGGTTTATAATATTTCAGATCATTGTGTGGCGGCGATACTAGAATTATTAACGAGCGATTGTTAGAGATTTCTGAATCAGTCAAGGATGTGTCTGTATAATTGATTCACCACCTTTTGTCAGCGCTGGTTAAATTGAAATAAATAAGTCTGAGCGCGATGTCATTAAGCTATGTTGCTTTCCTTTTGCTGTAGCGATTATTTGGTCCAGGTTTTGTTTATGTCACGTACTACCGTCTTTTATAAAGCGAAACCAAAGGCCCACATCACATACATAGCTTAAGAAGCCGTTGCTTCATAAAGAAGTCACCATTCAACGCCGCAGGAAACCTTGTTATGGTCGTGAAATTCACGTTCCAAAGCGTATTTGGTAATTCTCGCCAAAATCCAAGACACTTCAGCGCGCGAGGTCGCGAGGAGTCACTCGAGCTGTATTCTATCCTTTGATCTGATTGGCCTACATCAAAACAAAAGGTTTTACGTCACGGAAATCGTTTTGCCGCTCGGGTTCGCAGACGCTATTTTTCGGAGGGAGAGAAGCGACGACCGGAAATGCGTCTGCGCTTCGCAGGCTATGAGAGGTCTGGTAGAGTGAATGACGCAAACAAAAAGCGTAAACTTTAGTTTAATTTTTGACTTTAAGTCGCGATGTTATCGCAATGCGCGGCAAAAATAGCAGAGAAATAGCTGGTAGATGACAAAATAACAGCTTACGGTACAAATATGTCTCTGGGGTTTTATATGTAAAGTTTCAAAAAGAAAAAGTTGTCTGGTGAAACATTTGGCTTTCCTGAAAAACGTTTGCCATCAAAATTTAAATTTTGTGCTTCGAGTAACTTATCGTTTTTTTAACGAGCTGCTGATTGGCCCACAACCAACTTTCTTGGAATGTATTGCAATTTATTTCCTGTAATCCGATCGGTCAACTTTGACTAAGTGGCCGCGGTTACTGTAGTTGCATTGTAACACCAGTTAGCGTGCAAAGGTTCATGAAAGCATAAGGCGCAGACAGGAAAAGCACTTATTTTCTCAAAATAACCCACTAAGGAAGATACCTGGAGGTCTAAAGATTTGCTAAACAGCGGCTAAAGTTAGACTTCTTTTAAATAACCGACATAAGGGGTGTTCGATCACTGCCGATAATTTGTCACTTCCATGTAGGCCCAATTTTAAATAGGATTTCTCCGTAAAATAAACTGTATCTACATAGCTGGCATATTTCCCGGTCCCCTTTTCTAAATTTTCTGGATCTGCCCTTGACGGTCTTAAAAATTTGTGGCAATTAGCATTCATTATCCAACCTATTTCACGGTGGCAATTTCCTATGATTTTCCCTTGTGAAATGAATTGACTCTGACCTAACGAGTCAGTTCGATCGATAAAATGCATAATCGATAATATTCGATAACATTTGATTGTTTTTATCCATAATTTATAAAAATTGGTTTAAAGGATATTGTTGTGAGTAATCGTTATTTAGCAATTTAATTTATTGATTAGCTTATCTTAAGGTTTGGAAAAACGGGCAACAAAAAAAACATGCAATTCAACTTGTCTCCCAAAACTGCTGACAAACAAGATGTATAGCGATGTTGCGCGTTTTACCACCAACATAAAACCTGTCTTTCAACAAATCAGGTTGTTAACAGGTTTGACTGGTTGGTAAAACGCGCAGCATCGCAATTCAACTCGTTTTGTAGCAATGTTGCAAAATAAGTAGCACGTTTTTTGTTGCCCGTTTTTCCGAAACTTTACAACAATGAACAACAACAACAATTTACTAACGGTACTTCTAATGAGTTAAATGGCATTACCCAAAATAACCATAATAATAGCTCATGGTACCTTTACTCATTTTAAATTTCTTTCTTTTTTTCACAGATGTACATCAGTTTGTTTTAAAAGGCTGTAGGTGATGTGGACAAAAATGTCTATCACGTCTACGAATCTGATCATACGTCCTCCGAGGATAAAGAGGACGTTCTTTTAAGAGCTTCCTTTTTATTCTCGGAGGACGTATGATTAAATGTCAGCAATGAGCACCAAGACCACTACAAGAACAAGATAATTTTGAATTGAGATGCTAACGAGTAAAACTAACCCTTCTCCAATAAAAGGACAAAGGGATTTTTTTTCTTAAATGAGATTTCTCCCTACAAAATTCCCACCCAAGCCAAGACAAAGGGTAGACCACTAAGGGCCAGTTATTTTAAAAACAGGAAAGGACATAAAGAAAGGACGTAAGAGTGTTCGATCACTGCCGGGGATTTTTCACGTCCCCATATTTTTGTCCCAAAGATGAAGGCCCAATTTTTAATAGGATTTCAATGTAAAAACAGTTGGAAACGTTGAAACCCGGAAGTGAACTCCCTAATTTTTAAGCTGCTAAAGTGTATGATTTAATTCTGAACTCCTTTGGTCTTAAAGTGAAGACAGATTTTAACAGAAAGGTTTTCTTCTCCCCCAACCCAGGGAGTTGAATTAGCTGTGATCTTAATCATTCGTCTCCTGAGCAGTCTAGTTTGTAGTCGTGGGTCTTGTAAACGCCGTTTAAATATGGGGACCTTCTGCAATAAAGTCCTAACTTATTCTGTTACTCCATATTATTTCATGTCTATTTTTCACAAGATATATTTAAGTATTGTGCAAGAACTCCGAAGCTTCTGATATACCCTATGATTGGTCACTTGTGACGGTTTACTTCAACACTTACATCAATTATTAGGCTTCGCGTGCGCAGTTACTTACAAACATGTCGAGCGTGTGAAACCCTCCTACACCGCACCTTTCGAAGTTTTGACATTTGAGATTTGACTGACATGAGAAACGGTGTTTTGGAAGTTGGCGTGGTAGTGGGCGGATTAAGGCATTTAAAAAGATGCCGCTTTCCGCCCGTTCACAATTGCTCGCTCGTCTGCAATCAAGATACCCTTTTCCCGATTTCAATAAAACAAAAACAATACGTTTTCTTTATTGTAAAGAGACTTATATAATAATTATTTAACTGACATCTATAGACATAAGTTTCCTAGCATATCCAGAAACAACTACAAATGGATACCGTCCAAAAGTTGCGAGAAAAATGGTTGCTTTAATTAAAGGCAGCTTGAGGTCTGTAATTGGTACACTCTAGGACCTTTCTTCAGCAAAAATCCTTGGTTATTCAACGAGTACACAAAGTCATCGAAACTACGAATCTGTAGTCGCAACTCCTGCGTTAGGAAAGAAACAAAATTGACGGGAATTATTTGCATATACCATGCATAACCCTTTGAAGGGGTCGGAGTTTCCAAAAAGGGTGCCTTTTTTAACTGCTCGCTAAATCGACCATTTAAGTTACGTTCGATTAATTCCGGACTTGCCAAACGTTCTACCAAGATGATTTTTTCGTTTTTGAATGTCGAAAGAGGTCGGTTATGAAAACGAGCGTTTTCGCATAACCGCGATACTAGTAGGGGTAGTTCAAATTTTGTCTCCCACGCAGTCTTTTTCGTCTCGTCACGCAACGCTTCTTCCCAAGGAGCGTTGGGTGACAAGAGAAAAACGGCTGCGGAGAAGATTATTTAGAATTCGCATTATATTATCATTCAAACTGGTTTTTTTTTTCAAGTCTTGATTGGTCTAGGGTTATAACGTCACTCTGGGTAATTACCTAACGAAAATCATCTGCTTTAGGGCAGAAGAAACTCTTCTTCCCCCAGACAATGCTCTGCTAATGTTCAGTTTGGTATTTGTCTTTGATTGTCAATTAGCTGCTTTGCATTTCTCCAGTAAATTTAAAAAAAAAAAAACAAGCGTACCGATTGAGTGATAATAGCGCGATTTGTTGGTGATCAATTATCTGATAGTCCAATAATTGTTTATCATCGGTTTCTACGCTGTACGTATTAAAAGGACGAGAAAATAGGATACAGAATGGCCTCTGGTTAGGACAGTAAAAAGATTCTATTTACCTTTGCAATTCGTCTCATTTGCTCAATCGTGAAAAGAGAATTGTATTCCCTTTCGGATACACGACTCAGCTCAGCAATAAAGCGCTTGGACTGCAGAAAAGATGAAGATTAAAAAGGAACAAAGATAGAGGTTAAGAATATCTTTTTGATTTTGATACTCATAGCCTATAAGGTAAGGTAAAGACGCATACGAGCTAAGGCGGCCCACACGGCCGGAGGTTGTCCCGTCCCGGGGTTTTTAGACTCGGGACGGGACGGGATATTAGCTCATCGCAGGGTTTATATCGACACCAGTATGTGGCCAGTACCAATTCATTGTACACCAGAGACGGGATCTTCAAAGCTGGGTTAAGATAACCCAGGGTGTGTTTGTGATTCGCTTTGTCTCCTAGCCCTAATTATTCATCAACTAAGGCTAAGAAACAAAAGAAATTGATAATAAATCTTTATTCATCGTATACGTATTAGGAAAATAACCAATTGCATTATCCACTGGATAGAGATATACCGGTGGATAGCGTTACCCAAGGTTTTGAAAAACTAGACCTGGGACCAGCTGTTCAAAGGCCGATAAGCGCTAACCTAGGGTTGAATTTTAATATGGGTTTCCTTTTTCTTTTCATCAAAAGCATCAAAATGTAGGCAAAACGAATTTTAAAACTGAATTGCCTTTAAAGCTTACGCATCTGAATTCAAATTATTTCGCACTTGTTTATACAGGTCAAAATTAAATTCAGGTTAAATTTTTTTAATTTAGGGTTATCCAGTGGATGGCGATGGAAGTCAGAGCGGCCACGAGCTTCCTAGGGGGATCCGGGGGCCTGTCCCCGGAAATGTTTTGAATGAATATGAGATGTAATCTGGTGCATATTGAGACACGATTGTGTCGTTAGACGGGGAATACTTTCCATGGGCGCTGACCTCGTAACGTCTGGATGATTTTTCCGATATAATTACTTTTTGTATACTAAACTGTAATGATAACAATATTTTGTTTTTTTTTTGGGGGGGGGAGCTTCTACCTCTCAAATACCCTAGATAGAACCTTGAACGTCTGAGCAACCAGGCCCTAGGTGAAGAGAGACAGTGGTGAATAAGGTAGACAGCGTGCAGAGCAGTCAGACAGCTGGAATTGCAATCCGTCGCCCCACTCTGACCTCGAGCTCGATTTGCTCACAGTGGTCACGAGTTCAAGTCCTCCGTCACGCTTGTAAATAGCAAACTGGTTCGGCTTCTACCAGTTGGGGTTTTTATCCTCGCTAAGTTTGATTTTCATTCTTTACTTAGGGTACGTTAATAGTATGCTTGAACGACCTTTAGACCTTTTTAAGAGGTTAAAGTACTAGAATTGTAATCCTGTCCCAAGTTGAACTCCTCGGTCCCCTTTGTAAATAGCCAACTGGTTTGTTTTCGGCCAGTTAGGATTCTTAACCTTGTGGGCCGCAATGAAAACTACTAGTTTAGCAGTATTGTGTTAGCCCTATAAAATCAGTTTCAATTTTCTTTTTTTCTGGAGAACCGGGACCTAAAAATCCCCCTCCCACTTCCAAGCCTTCACGGCACCACTTAATAAAAGAATCATACACAGCCCTACCTGAGCTCTTGAACTCATTCCCGATCCATGTTGGGAGCGCTGAAAATCCAGGTTTCCAAAGTCATCACTGAACGTATCAAGTAGACTGTATTTCATGATCTCCACCACATCCTGGGCGTCCTGTTGACTAGCCTTTTCACGCATCTCCAGGCGTGCGCGAGCCTTAAAAAACAAGATACAATAAAATTTTTCAGTCAAATCACTTTAGAAAAAAAGCCCTGTTGAGGACTACGTCTCGTATAAAGTTGCGGAAAAACGGGCAACAAAATCGTGCAACTAATTCTGAAAAACGAGTTGAAAAACTTTGTTGAGTGTTTTGGCAACCACCTTCAAACCTGTCTTTAGCTTGGATAAATTCTGCCAGAATATGCGATTTTTGAGGCGAGCATTCTGCCGGCAGAATAAGGCATTTTCGAGCAGAATTTGAGCAGAATAAGGGAAATTCAGCGGCACAATTGATATGCACAACGGTTGTAAGCAAAATTTAAAACTAAATAATAAACAAATGGAAAATACTTTGTGATTAATTTGATTATTTAATAGCTATAAGGCACTCACATTAAAAGTCAGATGAATTACAACTTTGCTACGCATAATGAACATCTTTTTTTTTCTTTCTTTTTTTTTTTTTTAGGGTTAGGACCAGGCTCTCTTCTATTTTTACAAAAATAAATACGGCCCGAAGGACCAAAATTTTTTTTCGGATAACGAGCAGAATTCAAGCAGAATAAGGATGTCTGAGCAGAATTTTGAGCAGAATAAGCGATTTTTCCGAGCACTCCGGCAGGCAGAATAAGCCAAGCCTACCTGTCTTGCAACAAATCAAGTTGTTGCACCTTGCGTGAATACTGAGTTCTGATTGGATAAAATTACGTGGGAGTTACGCGATGCACAGGAAATAGGTCACTTGTTGTAAAGCATTTGCTAAGGCCGGTAAAACGCGCAACATGAACAGATTTTGTTGCAAAGAGTAGAACTACTCTCTACTTTCTGCAACAACTTTTTACAACCTACAACAACCCGGTGATTTGCAATCTCGTTCCCAGAGTCCGCGTTGCTTTGTCAACCGGAACTGGCAACGGGTCCCGATCCCTGTCGCTGACCAAAAGGATCGCGGCCTCTGGGAACGAGATTGGGTGATTTGTTGCAAGAGAGGTTTGATTCATCTTTGTAAGACAGACACCTCCTTTACACAAACACCTGAGAGTTGATCCTTGCTGTCCTTCAGTCATTTGCTTTTGAATCGTTACAGAATTTGTTCTCGATAGATACCGAATTCAGCTAATCGGCCATGCTTCCCATCTGGTTTAACTTCAGTCAGCTGAGATCACGTTTATTTTAATTAAATGTTTTTATCCTTATTTGTGAACCACAATGCAAACCACTAAGTAACCAGTGAGTTTAACTGTGCTGCCCCTACAAAGCCATTTTTTAAACAAATTTTAGTTAGGTGTACCTGAGTAAGTCTTATGAGTGATTCCAGTTGCCTGGTAGTGATGGGGGTGCTGTCAGCACTGTGGTGCTGCCGTCTAAGGTCAAGGTAAAAATTCTGCCAAAAAAAGTAACAAACAAACTCCATGAGTCAATAAACAAGACAGTGAAGAATAAATATTTTGCCTGCACTACAGGACCGAACAAACAACAACGTTATGAGGCGTGGGAGTGTGGGTCAGCCAGGCCCATGATACAGTAATTCAGGCTGGTCAAATCGTTTTCACATGGCGTCACGGCAACCATGTTGGTTTGCAGAAAAAATCCAAAGGGGATTGAACTCTTTCCTAAACAATTTCAGTCTTTTTTTCCAAGAAATTTGCATTGCTGATGGCCACGTGAGTGAAAAAGATCTATATAAATACGCCACAGCCGGACAAATAAACCTGAAAAAAAAACAACTATTGCAGAAAAAGGGACCGTGTAGCCCGAGCCGTTGCTACGCCGTCACCTTTGGGGTTATAACGCCAATCAGTGAAATAAAGCCATAATAACATGCATAGCAAACGAAAAATAAAAGCAAAACGATAATAAAAGCAGCTAAGAAGTATACGCTATAGCACAGCTGGAAAATGACGCTAAGCCAAAAATAGAACAAAATGAAAACTTAATTTCGCGAAACAAGTTGACGCGGCAAGGCTGACCGTAGAATGTCACGAAGACCAAAACGTTAACTATTGCAAAACATCAATTCGCGATACCTCGCGCGCAACACACGAACCCAGTCCCCTTTTCCGTGGCGGCAAAGCAGAATATTAATTTATTTCAAGTCTGATCAACGCAAATTGTATTTTCTGTTACACCTCAGATTACTTCATCCTCGCATGACGATTGGTGATTTCCTTTTCTAAATCCTTTCCTATCTGTTAAAAAAAACTACAATCTGTTTAACGCGTCTCACCTGCAAGACCTCTGCCGCTGCCGGTGTCAGTTTAGGGTGGACGTAAGTCCTCGCATAACCAACATACTGTAAAGTAGACACAATGGAACAACAGAATTAACAACGTTTCGAGAAACACCTACCCAACGAAAATAGCCCACGTGCCATGCATTAAAATTCTGACATGACTTCGAGGCTTTGTGGTCATTTTTCTATACGTGGTTTGGTTTTCTTTGTGCTCAAATCTTTTCTGGGGATTGCAAGACAATGGAGTCAAGAAAAAATTCCAATTTTGCTGTTAACTTAATATATCGAACGTGGGTTATTGCTACATTTAACGTAAAATGAAAGCTTAAAATGGATCTACGATATTCTTGGTGCCTGTGGTAGATGTTTAAGTTTTAACTATGGTCAAGCGCTCTGTCCAGCGGTGTTGATAGATTTAGGCCCTGTTTATAAGGAGAAAACCTGTCCCAGGTAAAAGAGTCAACTTTAGCGGATTGTCTGAGAAAGAAAAATGACCCCTTTCCCAGAGCCAATAGCGGTCGCGCATAATCTGATTGTCTAAAACAGCGCTAGCGTATTTTCAGATATTTTTCGGGATGACCCGGCTGGGCGAGCCAAAGTGTTTATATGGAGAAATTTTGGCCAGTCTGGGAGGGTGATCTTACCATCACAAAAGGGTGACCCGGCCAGGCGAAGTCGTGAAACCAAAAAAAAGATCAACTAGCGTTGAGTAAAAGTATCTCGACGCATACCTTTCGCAAAAGTTGAGCTGGGATTGCGTCAAACTCTTCATTTCGGCCAATCTACGCATGAGAGAAAAATCGAGAAATGTCCATGAACAAGGAATTTTAAATTTAAACGAGCACACACAATGGTTAAAAGTCAGCGAACTAAAACGACTGAAAATTTCCATTGACCAGTACAAGAAAATCAAAACTTTTCTTAGAAGAATAAAATAGCAAAAACTCAGTTATACCCGATCACATAAGCCCTATGAGAAAATTCCTGATAGCCAGATAAAACTTAATTGAAAAAGGAAAAGAGTTTATTTCACCTTTAGACGTTCAGAGAGTGGCTTCCCAGCCTCCCACTGCTTCTTGGTCTCGTCCTCATCACTGCAACTGTCCTGTGTTGGGTGAGGAAAAACACGCGGTTATTTACACTACGTAGGCTGAACACAACCTAACACTACTTCAGCTTAGTGACAATTGATTAACGGCCCAATTATTAGTTACCAGACTTCAGTTACTCTCCATGGGCGGTGACGAAGAAGGATAAATCCGCGCTTGGCACTAACCACCGGTTTTAGCTTCCTGCGCTTCTAGGTAGCTATACACTCGCCAACGGTATGGGTTATATATTTTCCCGCGCTAGGCAGTTGGTAACTGTTGAAGCTATAAATATTTCCCCTCGCTTCTCAGTAGCTTTACACTCGCCACCATAATGGTTTATATATTTTACCGCGCTTCTCAGTAGCTTTACACTCACCACCGGTATGGGTTATATATTTTCCCGCGCTAGGTAGTTGGTACCGGTTGAAGCTATATATATTTCCCCGGGCTTCTCAGTAGCTTTACACTCGCCACTGGTATGGATTATATCACGAAGCCAAAGGCGAGTTTCGTGGACAAGAGATCTAGGTGTGAGATAACCGGTTTCAGCTATATTTGGGTTTACATTTACCACCGGTATACATAATATATTTTTCCACGTTTTGGACTTGCCACCGATTTGAGATAAATATGTTTTCCCACGCTTGGCACTTACCTTAGGTTTCGGCTATTCTATATTTTCCCACGCCTCTCAGTGGCTTTGCACTCGCCACCGGTATAGGTTACATATTTTTTCACGCTTGGCACATGGTTTCTTCTATATATTTTCCGGCGCTTCTCATTGTTAGGGCTTAGGTTGGTCTACGTTCCCCGGCTAATTCGTTATGAGCCCAAAAACGTTGACTAAATATGAAAAACGTTTGCCATTTTAGCGACTGACTTAAATCGTGAATTCATCGACTGTAAAAGGAACACCCCAAAGGCGTCTTTCAAAAAAGAAGGGCGTTGGCAAAACTGTTTCACTCATTATACGAATACAAAATGGCCAAACTAATGCCTCAAGAATACACAAAATACCAGGCTGTACTCGGGAGATATTTCTCACGTAATATCAGTTGTTATCTGTCCACTGACCAGTTATCTATTGACTCTATTACAAAGAGTTCAAACCTATCACCAACACCATTTAAAAATATTCAAAACCTATAAGGCGTTAACTGAGCGATAAACAACTGTACCTCTCTAGAGCGACGCTTGGCAGTGGCTACTCCAAACGCACTGCAAAAAAGCAAACAATTTTATACAGATTAAAAGACGATTTATCACCCAGCGACATACTTTGCTCTGCCGTCGGAGATTAACTGATGACTCACCTCTTTTTTCCAGCATGTAAAGCCATGACATGTTCCGACAACATGGAATCCATTTCCTGTTTTAAAACAAAAAGAGAAAATGTAAGTTTTATACGTATTTCGTTAATCTAAACTTCTTTTTCAATTCGTCAGAAAACAACAAACCAAACTATCTCTCTCAAAATAAATCTTACCTCATCCGGCTTATCCAGCAAAATAAACACCTATAATGAAACGCGTTTATTAAAACTGTCAGTCCCTGTTATATAACCAAAACAGTCAACCCCCATTATTGCAAACCAACTCGTGAACCACGCATTTTAACATTAAAATATGTCCAGGATACCATGTTAATGAGATTTATGCTAGATATGATGGAGATCGCAAAGTGTCCCCTTCAGTTAAATGAAAGCAATTCTGTGAGTGACTACATGAAGGAAATGGAAATTAGAAATAATTGTGTCTAATATGAAGTACAGTACCGCACAGTGCGCGAGTTGATGTCCGTAATGGCGGGAGTTTATTTCAGTCACACGTCTGTATTTCTAGTCACTGTTCTTAGTATTAGGGTGTCCGTATCAGAGGTGTCACGTCCGCAAGGCGAGAGTTGATTGTAAATAAGAGTATCATTCCTACTTTGCGCAGCATAATAAAAAGCAGCACTGAGAAACATTTCGCAGTTTTTATAAGTAATCACACTTAACGATTTGATCCACAAACTCAAGAGTAAGAACGAACTTGCATAGCGCACAGTAGTATTAAGAGCATTACAAGAAGGTACTACTCAACTTCTCAAAAAAGACAAGATATAATATTGATGTTTTAAACTACTTACAAGATCAAAACGAGACAAAAGAGCACTCCCCATCCTGGACAAAAGGAAGTAAAAGATACAAAACTGAATAAGTTGACTGCAAGCAGTCCCTCCTTTTCTTCAGATTTAGTGAGGTAAATGCACGCGCGCGCGAGCGTCAAGTGGTGAAGCCGCGAGACGCGATCATTTGCGTGTTTCGCGCGTTTTGTTCGACGGACCAGCAAAAAAGAAAGACTGCTCGTAGACTAGAGAATAAGCTACAAGCTGCTTTACTAGTACCCTACTAACCGTATTTCTTCAATCCTTGTCGCCAAGGACGTTTTGCGTTTAACGTTTTTTCCCCGCGAAACGTCCCTAAAGGCAGGGAGCGAGGAGCCGTATTTGCAGGCTACTTTACTGGGACAGGGCTGTAAAAGTGGGCGGGGCAGTATGCTCGGGTGATCACTCGAAACTGTGCCAAAAAATACAAGAATAAATTTTTAAATTCTTGCAAAAAGAATCTTTGAAATAAGGAGAATCGGATAAATGGGTCTTCCTTGGATATGAGGAGGGAGGGTTTTGCACGGTCAGACATTCCAAAAAAATGAACCAATAAAATAACTTCAAAAGAAACGTGATTGTCTAGGTTTTAACAATGTATATGTATAATTTGATTACGTAAAAACGGTTATAACGCACTCCACAAACAATTTAACTTCACTTGTCAGAGTAGACTCACTTGAGGTTCTCCGACACAGTCTTTGCTTTGTTGTAGTGGCCACCCACTGGGTTAGCGGCTGCAAGGATAGACGTCCTTGCTGGTAAGCTGAAATGATATATTCAGAACGTCAACTTTCCAAGCTCGTGTTAGCAAGATGACACAATAACAACAAACTTTTAGCTCGTCATACGATAAAGTCATTTGTGATCACTTGTGATGTGGTTCACGTCGTTTCGAATGCTTACTGCTGTGTGCTGGTCTTCATCAGGCGATAAGGTCGAGCGATTACGCAGTTTTATCTTTTGCATCACAGTGATCAACATACACATTGGTGCATTTCCAGGCTCACTGCATCGCTACACCCTAGTACTATATTGTGAGACGAATGATAACTTTATCTTAATTGGGCCTGTCACGATGAATCTTTCAATATGGCATTACTTGCCATAAAAGGTTGTGTGAAAAATAGCGTTTGCGTCACAAAATAAAGGACGAGTGGAGACTGTTTTCCAGTTACGTTCATGAAAAACAGGATACTAGAGGAGACAATTGGAGTACACACGCCTCAAACACAAAGCAGGTAGCCACTAGACGGAATTCCGTTGTCTAGATTCTAATTTCTATTACGAGAAGTAAATAAAGAAGAGAAAACTGTCGACAAACGCCCTCCTTTCTTGATCCACAAACGGAAATATTATTACATTTTCCACCGTAATACTACATAAGTGCAAACGTATTTCCATTTTGACCTCCCCATTGTAACTGGCGGACGTGAAATAAACAACGCTTCTCTAGTATTCGGGAGGCACAAAGCATTAATAGACATCAAAATTACTTGCTAACTCACGGAAGATTTTTCACTCACCTACAGACAATGCCAGCTTTTGCAATACTTATACTTTGCTGTTCCTAAATCAAACAAGAAGCCCATATTAATAAATTCATAGACTTGAATATAAACTTCTTTCCGCAGCGTCAAGAAAGTAAACAAGAGATCCTGAAGCCTGAGCACCAAAGAGGAAAATCGCAAGTGCATGAAAAACACAACATTGCATGTAGCAAGGGTCGTGTAATGGTTTTACAGCAAGAGACTATAAAGGGGACAGAGAGGGCATCCCCCATATACACCCTATTCCATAGGAAATTCGTCTCGAGTTATTTTTAGAACCGCAGATCCCAAGGGGGATTGGACAACAGCCAATCACATAGCGCGAATGTACTCCGCGTGGACGACCCACGCTAGAGCCACGCGTCCTCCACGAATTGACGCGGAACAAAATGGGGGAAGACGCGGAGAGCGATTTTGCTATTCCTTTTGTCGACGAAAACGACTACAGCGAGATTTCTGCGAAAGCTGTGTCAGCGAAACGGAAATTAAAAAAGAATCGCCCTTCCTCTCTTATATAGAGCTAACAGTACAGCAGGGAAATCCTTAACACACTGAATATTCTCTCAGGATCATTTATAGTTTACAGTTTGAAGAGAGCAATTTCTGGTTTGATATTTATTCCTTTATTAGTCTTTTATTATTCAACAAAAATAACACTTGGCGTCCTACTTGCCTTATTAGGGACTTTAAGATCCAACGGCGCGACGGCGACAAGAACGTCGCTTAAAAAGTGAATTTGAGTTCTTTCAGTCTTTATAGCGATTATTCCTACCCACTTACTTTGTCAATTGTAGGCGAACCCTCCTGAAGCTGAATTTCAAGGGACCATATTCAAGCTCAGAAAGAGAAATAAAATTTCGTGGTTGCTTGTTTACGTCCTCCATAAAACGCGAAATTAGGCATTTTCACGTCGTAGTCGTGCAAAAACAGGAAAAAAATGAACAAAAAAGTGTGTTGCACGTGCGAAGTTGTTGTTTTGCTAATTAAACCTATTGTTTTTTTGACGTTCTAGTTGTCGTCCGCGTCGTTGGATCTTAAACTCCCTAATTGTACAAACGACCGGTTTCAATAGACCGGCGAAATTTCTCATTTTATTAAAGCACTGAGGTTACGACAATTTCGAGTTAAACTGATTTCACGGGTTGTCAAAGAGTCCAGCGATTCCTTTTTCCCAGGTGAGCGCCGACTCATTTCGCTTCAATATTCAGGAATGCTCTCGATCTTTTTACGCTTTCATTGCCTTTCGCCCGACATGTTTTGCACGGCGTTTAGTCATGCGAAACATCCACGAAACATCCACGCCTCGCGCGAGGTAACTTTATCCCGATTCTAAAAATAACTCGAGACGAATTACCTATGGAATAGGGTGTATATGGGGGATGCCCTCTCTGTCCCCTTTATAGTCTCTTGTTTTACAGGGTTCGTATTCTTTGAGCTCTTCAAATGTCATGACTTTTTCTCATGACCTTTTCAAGTTTTCCATGACTCTAGGTAAAGTTGTCACTTGCGAACATTTTCAGAACGTTCCCTTGTTTTAGGGTATTTTTTGACCTAAACAGTTTAACAGACACAAACTATGATGTCCACCCTCTCTATCGTACATTGCCATTGCTTTGTAATCCGCAGAAACTAATCTACCACACAACTTTAATTTTCCACGACGTTCAAGGTCCGACAATTAAATTCCATTTCTTTCAGGCCTGGAAAATGGAACTCTTAAATTAATGACTTTCCAGGTTTTACATGAGCCGTACGAACCCTGGATGTATCAGTGTTGGAAAATGAACCCGACCCTTTGAGCGCTCTAAGAATTTAGCTCAGTACGGAGAGACTGCTGTCGTGCTGTATATACAACTGCAGACCATCCTCTGGAATCTTTATCGTGTGCTTTGTGTTGAGGAAGAGAAATAAATGGTGGAAAAATGTTATGAAAAGAGGCGACAATTGATAACTATGGCAATGGGATGATAAGGTCACCGATACGACGAAAATACACGGAAATCTTATCAAAATTCTGTCCAAGTGTCGAAGCTTTGTAAAAAAGAGAAAGACAAAACTTGAAGTTTAGTTCAAACAACCTTACCATTGCTTCCAACAAAGCTTGATGCTGACTTCCCATTTTGTCAAACTCGTCAATACAACAGCACCCTGAAAAGCAAAATAAAGTCGGATATTGATCAATTCAGGTTAAATAGGTGCGTAGTTTGTAATGAAAGCTAACGCACAGAATATCATTTAAAATATTCACATGTGAATAGATCCTTTAATGTGCGAGAAATTCAAGCCAGAAACAGTGCATTGACGAGCAAACATCACATTCAAAACTGTTAGTACAGCCCTTAAAGCGATGTTACACGGGACGATTTGCAACGACGATTTTTAGCGGAACACAGTGTTCCAATGTTGGAACAATGTTGCAGCTATTCGAAACAATGCTGCAACAATGTTGCAACGTTGCGTTGAGCTTAAAATCGTCGTTGCGAATCGTCCCGTATAACATCACCTTTATTCTACTCTTGCATGCACAAAAGTAACATGGACCCTCTGCTGGCTACGCTGGTGGGTTCCAGCTATACACAGATGCAAGAAGACGTTGACGAAGATCCGTTGGTTTGCCTTTGGCTTCAGATTGCAGTCAACGTTAAGTAGTATAACAAGGACCGAACCAACCCTTCTTTGTGCAGGAATCTCATTAACCTGCGCAGGAATAAAGTAGGGACTTAAAGATCCGAAGACGCGACGGCAGAGAACTCTTCGCTTAAAAGGTGAATTTGCGTCCTTCTAGCCTTCATCGTGACTATTTCTACCCACTTACTTTGTCAAATGTAGGCGAACCCTCCTTCAGTTAAAATTCCTAAGAACCATGCCCAAGTGCACAAAGAGAAATAAAATTTCGCCGTCGCTTGTTTTCGTCCCCAATTAAACGTTTAATTAGGCATTTTCACGGCGTAGTCGTGCAAAAACGGCAACGAAATTTACAAAAAAGCGTGATGCACGAGCAAAGGTTTTGTTTCGCTTTTTAAACCTATTGATTTTTTTTGACGTTCTCGTTGCCGTCTCGTCGTCGGATCTTAGGACCAGTTTACGTGGAGGTGGGGGACCCCAGGTAGGTGAGGAAACCCACTTAGGTGGGGTAACCCGCCTGTCCATATAATCTCTCATATGGTCACCACACCTATCATATAAACGTGACCAAATTAAAATGAGAGATTGTATGGACAGGCGGGTTACCCCACCTAAGCAGGTTACCTCACCTACCTGGGGTCCCCCATGTAAACAGGCCCTTAAAGTCCCTATTAACGCCGATGACGTCATAGCTTTTTGTATTTATCTCATGAATAAAATGCGGGGGACTCCCATTAAGATAAGGATATTTACTATATTTAAGTTGTTTGACCGGTTTGACAGATTATTTAGTTATTTTTATGTCGATAAATGTCTCGGTTAATTAACGGTGGTGGTGGCGCAGGGAAAACAATAGAAATGAGGTGGTGGTGTGGAGGGAAATGAAAACTTTAAGGGCGAGCGAAATAAATGAGCAGTTATAAACCTACCTTGGTCTCCCAAAACAAGTGCTCCTGCCTCTAAAGAGTAATCCCCGGATGAACCCTCTTTAGAAAGAGTCACCTGCGACATATAGACCAATGTCATAATGGCGGCCTATTTATTTACTCTTTCATATGTATATAAATGAACCTTTCTGGTTTTGTTTGAAAGTAGGAATGCTTTTGCATTTCTGACCACACCTCGTACTGCTGAAATCTTGTACGTTACATTTTGGTACAGATCACTGTAACAATCCGCATGTAATTACCTATAGATCATATTACAACCTCTTTTTTTTGTAAATTCAGTTGTTATTATCTGTAAGCAAGCCGGATCAGACGTATTAAAAATTGAACTTTGGCGACATTGGAGTAATGGTTTTCTTTAGATCGTGCCTGGTGGTCACTGACGCGGAAACGGAAAACAAAACGTGTCAAATATCTAGCCAAGGAAGTAGTTATCGACTACTAGAGATTTTTTGAAACACTCAGTATTTGACTGAGAAACAAAACATATAATTACAGCTACTTCGCTTACGAGAAGTGGTCGCTATAAGAGATTCGACCGTTATTTCAATGCGACGAGGTTTGTTTACATTGGAAAATATGACAATTGCTTATTATTACCGTGAGTCCAGAAGTTGAAGTCGCATTTCCACAAACGTAGACACCTCTAGGAGCAACATTAGATACCGCTTGTAGCATCTACAAAAAAAAATAACAGGCGTTCAAAAGTACGTCCATTACAGAACAGTTACCAATAACAATGCACAAAAAGAATGTTTTACAAATGAGTTTACCTGGCTTTTTCCAAGACCTGGGTCACCAACAACCAGAATGTGTGGATTCCCTCTGACTGGAATACGATTCTGTGGAACGGAAGAAGCGGTAGACAAGACTTAGGAGGTGTATGTAAAACCAGTCAAATCTCCGCGTGACAAACTCTCAAAACCAACGACCTTGCAAAAACAATATTTTTCCCATTCAAAGGCCTATAGTTAGGATTTCTGCCTTAAACGAATAAAGTGAGGACTACATCGCCAACAGCAGGTTCTACTTCCTTTTGCTGTGAGCCCCCAGGGCCCCCTGTGGTTCCTTGGGTGTCCTGTCACTATTCTGGCGCAATCTGGATTTCTGTTTGCCAGGATGATTTTCAGCAAGTATATCCAGCAGTGTCAGCATATCTTGTATATCTTCATTTCAAATCGTAGCACACTTATTGCACCATTCCAATTGCGCTAATTTTTGGCCATTGTGGCGCGCGCAAACAGTTTCAAACTATTTTCTTAACACTGTTCACTGGCCAGTAAAGACCCAAACCACAAAGAACTCGTGATTGTACAAAACTCTATTGTAGTCCTTTATCCCACAACTATTGATTGACCCAATAAAAATTAAAGGGTCTGTAATTAGCAACATGTGTATGTCGGGCAATCGTTTCGCAGATGATGTTTTACTGCCCTGCATCTGTTTATAAGAATAGCGTAGTTTACAATTCTGGCTACCTGGTAATTGTCACCCTCCCTGGCGTTGCTCGTTGTAAAAAAAATTGTCTTTGGGCATATAAAGTAAGACTGTTGTTGATGATGTCTGCAACATATTGCAATATGGCTTATAGTTACCTTGTCATTCAAGTATCGCTGAGTTCCTCCAAAGAGACCTAACACCAATCCAGCTTTCACCAGCTAACACAGAGCAAAATCAATAGTCATTGTATTATTATATAAAACATTTTAAAACATTTTCGGGTTGCAGAAATAAAATTCAAAAAGGTAGGGTTACCTCGTGTCCATAAATGGAAGGACAAAGTGATCTGCAAAGCAATTGGATAGGAAGGGTTTGAGAGATTATAAAATGAATCTTGCACGAAAGGTGACAAAACCACTATAATTTTGATATTAATATCACTCACCCAACAATAAGACGAAACAAGTTGTCCTGAGCCTGAATTTCTTGAATGGCATACAGTTCCTACCCACGGAAATTACACAGGATGATTATTGCCACTTTACATGTAACTCTACTCACAGGTAAGATAAAAACGGCGTCAAGATCCCTATTTTAGGTTGGTTTCTCTTAACAGTACTTAAATTGACAAACCTGAGGCCGACGGAGCGCTCNCCCCCCCCCCCCCCCATCCCCGTCTCCGTCAGATTCAGTGCTACGTTGTGCGGGTACTTAAAGCTACTTAAAGCTACACGGAAAGGAAAGAAGTCGAAAGATGGATTTGTGGTGGCACTTGGGAATCGACCTCGGAACCGCCCGCACACAAGGCCGCGCACTAACTGACTAATTAATCCTTGCACTTCGACCCGACCTTTGAATCTTGTTTACCAACACTGGAAATGTAGGTACATTATGACCTGTATAATGACCAAGTTTGTGCCCAGTAAGCGGTTTATAGTGTTGGTACAGAAAGCTCTTTTATCATGAAAAAAGGCCATAATTTGGTCCACTAATGACTGTACGTTGGTTCGTACCATTATTGTACTAACAACTGCAAAGAAACGAAAGTTTTGGCTTTTCCTTATTACGGAGCCTAAGGAAACACGTTTTTGAGCGACACACATCAACACCGGAAGTGAGGCTCTTTCCCTTTTGATATGCCTTGACGCTACTAAATTTGTATTGTCAAGTTGCTTTACACTTATAGACACGATTTGCCCGAAGGTTAGGGCAAAACCACTGTCAGATAACACAAAACGCCCACTTCCAATAAGCGAGGGTTGTTTAAAAGCTCCCAAATGTAGGATCTGAAGGACGCAGAATATGCAGCCCCCTCCTCAGGCGCTTCGTTTTTCGCAAGGTAGAGGCGGTTAATGGTAGAGGCGAGTGACTGGTGATGAACCGCAAGGAACCATGGGAAGGGTACAGACGTCTCCTTCCCGCCTTCCTTTGCGCGCACATTTTCATCGAGAGAGAGACGTCTGGGTACGAGGCAGCAGAAAATGTTCGTTGCGAACCACATAGAACATGTACCTTAATAGAGAATTCCATGGACAGTCCACTAGTCTGCTCTCCACTACTGGTATTCCCTTTGTTGTTATTCACGGCGTTAGCATGGATGTATAAGAGAAACATACACTTGTCTTTGTTGTTTCTGTTACGATCTAAACAGGTGGAGAGTTTTGTCAAGAATTATCGGTGAAATCTGTAACCCTCACGCTCCAGGAGTTGAAAAGGTGGATCTACACTGTATACCAGATAAAATTAACCTCTATCCCTAATACTTAACCGCTAGATAGTGCTATTCAACGTTTGAAAAACCGGGGCCACACATATACAGTCAAACCTCTTTAATACGGACACCAAAGGGACAGAACAAAGTGTCCGCTTTACAGAGGTGCCCGTATTATAGAGGTAGGAAATAAATGATTTTTGGCATTTCTGGGACCAAATGAACTGTCCGTAATAGAGAGGTGTCCGTATTATAGAGTTGTCCGTAAAGAGAGGTTAGAATGTACACACATATCCCAATTGTGGTAAAGAAAGGATGGGACAGAGGACCTCAGTAGTCCCCTCCAGGTTAGGGTTTTGCTCTGGCGGCACATGGTGGGCCTTGGTACCTTACTTTTGTCCTAAAGCGACAAGAAAGTCTTACTTTTTGCAATCATATGCAGGGCACCCTTGATTTCACCGGTTTAAATAATTGACTATTTTTTAATCCCACACAACACAGAAGAAAGAACTCTACGGGGCAAAATTGACAATTTTTTCTCACCTTATCTCAGCAACAATTACATTCCGCATAGTAGTATAGTGCAACAGCTTTTTGGCAGAAATATTTTTCCCAGGGGGCTCCCAGCCAAGATGGAAAATCACGGAAATTCCAGGGGGTGAGGGGGTATGACAAGCAGCCCCTGGAATGGAAATTCTAAAGAAGTAGGGGTCTAAGATAAAAGTGCCCTGCGTTGAGGGGGGAAGGGGGTGGATATTTTCTGGAACTACACATTAATTTTCTTACTTTCCTCTGAGGTTGTAACCTTGGCAACACCTGTAATGGTGACCATATCACCAGGCACACAGCTATCCACTAAAAGAAATAAAACAAAATGATCAACAACGAAAAAAAGCGCTGGTTACCCTCAGCAGCATATCAGCATAAAACCTGACAGCAAATTTTAATTCTTAAAAGCACAAAACACGGTTTAGAATCCTGAGGGCCCAGTTGTTCTAATTCCGACTAGCGCTAAAAGGGGGTTAAATTTTAATCCGGGTCTTTTTTTTCTTTTGTTCAAAGGCATATTCTCCAATGATTTTCTCTATTCTATTTCGACAAGAGAGAAGGTAACTGAATTTGCTTTTAAGCTTTCATATGTAAATTATTCAAATTTCAGACTAAACCTGGGTTATCTTAACCCATCTTTGAACAACCCGGCCCTGAATGGCAAAAGGCAAACCAGTTAGCTTACCCTTCACAAGCATGTCAATAGGACACAATTTACATTGCTGTGCATGTAATCTTAGAATATTATTATATTTGTCACTTCAAATATAAAAAGATGGTGTGACAATTACCAGTCACAAACACTCCACTATCAACAGGAGTTCTTATTGCCGGCGACAAGAGCAGCCCGCAATCCTAATCGCCAGGTTGTTATTACGCAAGCATCGCACGTATATAGCCAGCATTCGTTTGGACGTCCTCTAAGAATGAATGGAATGCACACAACGCAATTTGATCACTCGCGTGTGGACTTTCTACAATTCGTAATCTGATCACGCGTGTTTTCACCATCCATCACATGAAACTTGCGCACAGCATTGGAGAAAAAGCGTTTTGACCTTCCGCTGCTGACGCCCTGACTCCATAACCTTTGGTTATTACTAGTTTTTTAATAACCAAAAAGGGATCCCAGGAGATTTGGGAAAGCGTGGGAAAAAATAATGTAAGGAGCATAACTATGGGGATAATAGAAATAGAGCATGATCGCAGGCTACTTCGTAACCAGCTGATACAGGCTTTTTACGTCAAATAAAAGTTTTAGCCATAACTCTACCTAAATCAGCTGTCAGCTCGCACTCTACAGTTCTTGGAATTCTTCCAGATTCTCTCTGATCATCATCCATGATCTCCTGAACTCTATGAAAGGAAGAAACAGATTGTAAGTGTCATTAATGAAAGAATAACAAGATCATTTATTTTGTAACTTTTTATCATCCTCACTTCTTTAATGTCACACTACAACTTACAGGTACTCTAGATTTGGCAGCTACAGAAAAGTTGCACAAATTTTTGTACCCCCATTTTTTAGGTTCAGTGGTGAGACACATAAGATTTCAAGGTGAAAACATTTTTTGGATTTTTTGGATTTTTTGGATGCTTCCCATTGTAACCCTAGGTCAGATTCAAACCAAACAAATTCCAAGCAGACTTTCCCAGACAAACCGACAATTTTAGTGACACGTAAGTTTTTAACTATGAATTCACAAACAGTGGGAAGTCCTGGACCCAGATTTCTGAAAAAGGAAGGACAAGTTCTGTACCAGGGCGGGAAGGAGGGAGGTCACGATCACAGTCTGAAGTCACAGTTAATGAAATTCACCAAAAGATTGAGATGAGTGCACCATTTTAAATGGGGGCTCTCATTATGTTTCATGAACTAATATCGATTAAAGGACCAAAACAGTGAAACCTAATCCTAATAACTCATCATCATATAGAGACCAGTGACAATAGATACCTCACCCAAAAAGACGATTTCACTGACCTAATCAAGGCTGTACTCTTAGTAAAATTGAAGGAAGCCGAGTGCTCTGAACCTGTAAAATCTAGGGTGCCCAGCATATGATTTGTATGAAAAAACTAAGATTTCTAGTCACACAAGATTAAAACTTGGGCACATGCCTAATATGCAGACTATCATTTTTACCAGTTCATGTAGTTTTTAAACATTTTTTTTTTCAAATGTTTTACCTGACAGTTTGCCAGTCAATAGTTTTTGTCAATGGAGAACTTCTTTCAGGAGTAAAGGATCTCCCGCGGCAATCCACAGATGAACACTGTTACACCAATAAAAGAGGATAGTTATGTCTAAGTTGAAATATAGATTTTAATAAGAAAAAATATTAACAATCATTTGCAAATGACATCGATAATGATTTTTATTTTCTAATACTATTAAAAAACTCTGATCTTTCTCTTCAGCTAAACTGTACAATCATGCTACATTATTAACAGCAAATATAACCTGCATTACTTATGAGATTTACATATGTCATCTGTATTGACTTTTTTATTGTAATAAAAATTGGTGCAGAAGAATTAACCTAACCCTGGGAACAAGCCGGCAAGATGTGCAAATGAAATAATAAAACTAAACTATATAGACTGTGAGTTTAAGCAAAGAATGCAAGTCTCCTGAATGCAAGAAAACCTTGGAAGACTTACTAAATTATATTAAGGTTTCAGATTCCCAGCACCAAATCCAAAACCACCCTCTTGGGTTTGCCGATGAATGCTTCCATTTAGATGTACACAAAGGAAAAAAATTACCTTAGTTGGCACTGCATATTTTCCATCTGTAAGAGAAATTGCCTAAGCAAAGACAGAAAATGAACTCTCCGATACAAACTATAAAATTAATCTGGGAAAAGGTCACCTTTCGGCCGTGATATTGCCGATGGCTCAGTTTTTCCAACTTATTTGCAGGGTTTGTATTAACGCACATGTATAAATACAAGATACATGTACGCAGGGTGTACTATAACTATTATAACACAACAGGTTGGATAAGGTTGAGAAGAAGCACTTTTGGTATAGTAGATGTATACTATAGATCTTTATAACAATGCATGTGAATTCCAGCTTGCCCATAGGACAAGCAGCTGTCACATTTTACTTGACTGGGGAAAAGTTATGCTGGTCTTAAAGTGACTTTGTTAGAAGATTACTTTTCTGGAACTTTACTGAGTATTAAAAGTTACTTGAATTGCCCACCAAGAAAATCTACTTCTTTCAAGCCTATATGGTAAAAAGTCCAGTACATGAAATTTCACTCAAAATGTATCACATACACTGTACCTGCATCTCTCCACAGAGGTTACAGCTGAATGCCATATTAGTGACTAGTGGTTTAACGTTACTCACTCTAACCACTGTCCCACGAATTGCCACAAATTTACCTAGAATGGTCACAAACATTATAAGAGAGAGTCAACTGTACTTAGTAAATTGTGTGAGAATAGGACATTTGCATGATGGTGTCATTTTACTACTTTAACCTGAATCCTTTAGAGTTTTGCTTTCTTGTACAAATTAGGGCAGCTTTTGTTATTTAAACCTCACTGAGATTACCAAATTCAGATATGAAAAGAAAAATGAAAAGGATTCTGGGCATAGTACAAAATGTAGTAAAACGATGCCATCGTGCAAATGGCCTATTGCCTACTTTCAAAGTGAGGGCACTCGGAACAAAAGTTCATGTGTGATAATTAATGGGATTATCTAGTAACTGAACATTCCTCAAGACTCAAATAAAAAGAAATCTTGAGAACATCAAGCTTTACAAATTTCCAAGTTTGGTGTTAATCAGGCTACTACTGAACAAGATACAGCCATTCAAAACCTTGAAAACTTACCAAGAAAATTGCCTAGACATCTATAATTTTTATCAAATTTTGGAGATTTTTATTGGCTGTATCTTGTTCAATATTGGCCTGGCAATCACCTAAAATGGGGATATCCTAAAGCTTTATGAGCTCTTTGTAACTTGTGAGTCTAGAGTTGATGCTCCATTATAAAGGGGTTCATCCTAGCCTCCCTAGTCTGTTTGAAACCAACTGAGTCCATCAATTCTATCAGCAAAGGAACTAATATATGCTAATATATAAATAGGAAATTATCAATTTCTACCACTGGACAAATTTACATAAGTGGATATTAATAATAAAACAAACAAGTAATAGAGTTGTTGATTCAAAAATTAATGTTATCTAACAGTGAGAGTACATTGCATCTATGGTTTTCATTTCATTTATTTCTTATAATAAGAAATAAATGAAATGAAAAATTAAGAAAAATTAAGAAAATGAAAAATGAAAAATAAAGAAAAAGAATGAAAAATAAAAAATGACAATTTTTCATTATTTATTTTTCATTACTTAGAGTTATAACGACTACATTTTCATCATCACTATGTTTTACCTACCAAAATAATTAGATTTAAGGCTTTTGAGTTGGGTGACTGGTTCAAAGTTAGTTATCCTGATAAAGAAGAACAAAAGAAAGTTCAATAGTATCACAGCAGATAATTTACCTTTAGTTTAATACATTATTTGCAACAAAACAAACTTACATGTAAGATCTGGTTTTGACTTAGGTTACGAGACACTTCTCTGCTATACACAGTGTCTTTGTCAAAGTTTTAGACAATCAAGCACTGAGTTTGGAGAATGGTATTTGTTAAAATAGACAAAACATTGACAAAGCGAATATTAACACTCCTAGTCTACCAGCTGCTCTAAGACAAACTAGGGCAAGTTAACCCCTGCCTCTGTTCACAAACACAACTGACTACTACATATTATATTGCTGTACTAAAATATATGCAATAAAAATATTGATAGGCCAATCGCATGATTACATCATTTTACTTGACCTACCAGTCAGAGTTCTTTTTTTGCTTCTTGTACAAATTGTAGCTTTTGTTATTCAAACCTTGGGATAACCAAGTTTAAATACGAAAGGACAAAGAAGTACATTCTGGTAGTTAACTAATAGTAAAATGCAGACACCATCGTACAAAAGACTAACATGTACATGTAGACCTGTACAAATACCTGGCTTGTATGTATGGCAAGTCAACCAGACATGCAACTTGCTGACTTTCTCCTGTCTCCGCAGTGAGCAGGATCTACCATCACAAGGGTGGCATAATCATTGTTAAGATCATATTATTAATCAATGTACATAGAATCACATTTAGCACAACATGTATGTGGCCTCTTTCACACTGCACTAAATACAGTTGTAGGTACAATAACAATGCTTTTAAAGATAATTTGAGTCCTACATATAATAAAATATTGTGATCATCATCATCATCATCATCATCATCATCATCATTATTATTTTTATTATCATTATTTCTCTATTTGTACATTTTTTTATTTTTTACAGACATACATGCCACTGATATTAATATAATGAATATTTTCATCAACAAGGAAACAATAAACTACAGGCCACTAAAAATGCATGAACAAAGTACGTGTATTAAACGGGAAAGCAGAAAATAATGTTTCAATTTATCATACATGTGAAAGGCTCAGGATTTCAGACTGCATTGTACAAATTAAAGTACTTTATATATACATGCATGAGCTGATCACTAACCCCTCGACCCAACTTTTACGTAGACCGAGATAACTTGTAGAATGTGTAAATAAAAATAATAAAAAACATGTTTCTACAGTACCTGAGAGACAGCCAGACCAAGAGTCTGCAGCACTGTTGTAGGCTCATCTCTGAGGTCCACTGCCAGGGATGGAAAGTCCTCCATGAGGTCTATCAAGAAAATAGTACAGTGAAACCTGTATTAAGCGGACACCCTCGGGGAATGCTGTAGTGTCCCCTTAATACAGGGTGTCTGCCTAATACAGGTTTTGATATATAACGTCATATGAGGTGTCAAATGCCATTCAAATGAACAATGGAAGCATTTATAATACTCCCAGAGACTATGACGATAGACATTTGCATTAATTTCTTTATCAAAGTGAACCAATTGATCATAGTACCATAAACATGGATTGCAACTCCAATTTGAAGAAATCAGATGAGTGAAACAAGCTCTATACAAACAAAACGAAATAGAAAACAATCCTGTACTGTGAAACTAATCAAATAAGTTCATCAAGTCACGTTTTTTGATGTAAAAATCGAAAAATTTGTGGGTTGCAATTCAAGGCAATCTTTCGCATTTCCGGTGTCTGGCGTTTTGGGTGGTGGAATTTAATTACAAGTGTCCGTTTAATACAGGTTGGCAACAATAGAAATGACCATTTCAGGTACTTTTTAGGTGTCCGCGTCCATTTAATAGAGGTGTCCGCTTAATAAAGGTTTCATTTAAAGTAAATAAGGGAAATAAATTTGGGGACTTTGGCTACTGTCCACTTAAAAGAGGGTGTCCGCTTAATACGGTGTCCGCTTAATACAGGTTTCACTGTACAAAGATTTTGAAAGGCTTGTGGCTGCTGTTGTTTGAGCAATGTCTTTCAAGAATTTAAATAACAATCATGTCTCCTCCAAATGATACTGTCTGGTAACCCCAGTATATTAATGCATGTATCACCCACCAAATTTCTGTGTTTTTAACTTCCTTTTTTCACACTTACAGGGCGACCTCTATGACTGGGGCCATTAAATAGAGTTCTAGATGAAACTGACTACTTGAATCACAGAAAGCTAACAAACAAACACAAGAAAGTTGATTGCCAATAATATAATCATCATTATAAAAACAAATCAAACAAAATGGATCCAAATCTACCATTTTTATTCTACAACTACAGACATGACTTTTTGAACCTGCTCAACCAAAGCTACATGTTTGTTTCCAGAGTGGTCCTATTGGTTAAATTTTTTACTTGAGGTTTCATGCTTTACTCATTGAAAAACTTGTCTAACAATAAAATTTTGCTTTCTAACAAATTTTTGCAATCGGTATTCTATCAGTATTTATTTTTTTCATAGGCAAAAAAAAATAATTCCTCAGAATGTATTGTTCAGTTGTAATTTCCTGTATTAATATACATGTAACTGGTATATTTGTCTAAGAGTGGCCACAGTTACAATCATCCCACCACTGTATATGCGAGATATATGCATGGATAAAAGCAGTTTACCTGTATCAGATAAGAGGTCTGTATAGTCAAATACCACTGCACCTCTGCTTTCAATCTCATCCTGAAAACGGAATAAAATAACTGTCAATGAATAAAAATTTATTGCAGACAAATGCATTTTAGGCATCCCACCATGAACAATTTATTACTCCATTTAGAAATTTGCAAAAGACAGTTACAATTAACAAGAATGTACATGCCAGTCAAAGGAGGTATCGTCACAGTTATCAATAATCATGGACCCAAGATATCAAGGACAAAGAAAAAAGACAACTGCTTAAAGGTGTTCATAATTGAACCAAAGAACATAATATGATCACCACAACAATGACATGTCTACAACAGGCTAAATCAGTCTGACTACTTAATTAAAGTCAAAAATTTTTATGCTAAGTTCTAGGTGTTCATAAATCACCTATAATTTTTGCCAGAACCCAAGTTAGACTTGCTGACAAAAGTGGCTGTCTTGTGATTTGTTAGCATGCAAACGTAAGATGTGCTTTTCAAAAAGACTAGAGGCTAGACGTCACGATTAATGTCAACATGGCTATAATGTGTATTTAGTTAACATTTTACAGTACCTTGCTAAGTTGAGCACTATGTTTTTCCACAAACTTCATAATGGCCTTAGCTTTAGTTCCAAGAGAAGACTCTGGGTTATAAACTGTAAATTGGATAATTATGCATGTTTATGAGCAGCAAAAAAAACCTTTAATGACCATTAATTTCTAACAAATTACATTGCATAAATTCTCTACTGTTTAAGAATGCCACATTTGACAATTAACTAGATGTAAGCTAGCAAATTAAATGGACAGTTTTTGTGTTTGAAGTTTCCATAGAAACTGTAACACTATGCAGTCATGTCATACAATAATTGTCCTTAATGTCGATACTGTCGGTCCGTAAGTAAGAAAAGCGATGAAATTTTGCAAAAAAAGGGTAATTGTGGTCATCAGCGTCCTACATAATATGAAGGTGAAGTGTGATCTGTTGTATCGCAAAAATTATTTTTCTTGATGCAAAAAGTCACGCTTCATTTTCTCTTCAACGCTTAAGACATCAGCACGCTATATGACATGAAGGTGAAGCATAACTTACATGTAATCAGTCAGATAAAAAAGCATCACCTTGTGCATCAAAAAGTTTTCCTTCCATGCAGGAATTTACACTCTATTTCTTCGTTTCATACCAATGTGTCTTAGCAAGCCGATAAAATCACAAGTGTACAACAGACATAACAAAACCTGTAAACATGTGCTGTAGATGAGAGCTATTTTTTTCTCATGAGTTTCACTTTTTAATAACATACTTTTGAATTTTAAATTCATGGAGGGTGAGGTACATTGTTTTAACATTAAAATGACTTGTACCTAAATTTATTTTGTATGCAAGTATTAATCTTATATCTTAGTGATTTTTAGATGATGAAAGTTTCAAACAAAACTAAACTATACAGCTAACTTACCAGTATCAGGGAAGTAGACACCCCATTTTTTAAAAGGGCAGGGTGTTAAGCTTGTCTGCACCTGCCTGGTTCTTTGATGCTGTTGTTGAGGCCTAGAGCTACCTTGGTTTGGAAGAGGATTTGCCCCTTCACCTGAAAGCAGGTTTAAAGAACAGCATTCAAGAAAGTACAAATCTTAGCTACATTGTAATTTTAATTCTCCTTTGGCCATACTTTTCCAAGCCAGTAAATTTCTCTCTGCTTCGCTAAGACAATGATCGATTTATCCAAAAATGAGGAATTTAGAGTAATATAATCTTTGCACAACTTGTGCTGGTGCCACAATAAGGGTGGATCAAATTACATGAACAATCACCCTGTACACTCGACCATTTGTTTGCAATCCCTGGGAAGAGGAAATTTGGTACCAGTATTTAGGAAAGTGAAACAGGATATTGAAAGACTGGGACCCTGTCCAGGGTAATTTTATAGGAAATGGCTTCCCCCAAGAAAGCAACAGCACATTTATTGTAAGGTCACTGCGACTCTACGACAAAAATTTATATGCAAGACTAAGGTTATTATTTAATGATACTCTGATAAAAAAAAAGAGGCCAAAAAGGAACTTGGGATCAAACACCTCTCTCTCGCTCCAACCCTTGCCTTCCTCCACCCCCCACCCCCCACTTCCCGCCCAACACCACCTGAAATGCTGTATTTTTCTATTATTATCCTTTATGTTTTTTTTTCTTTTATGAAATACCATCTATGCAAATAAATATTGTTGTTGTTATTGGATGGGATTGTGGCAAAGAGAACAATCAGGTCTGTCACTAAGATATCAAGTTGCCAGATATAATTCCAGTAGTAAGTGAGAAATTGAACAGCTAGGGAGTTCTTTACGTTCCATTTTCGTTTGTATTCTATAAAAGTAGCCAGGGGGGTCATGCATATTGCAGCCAGACAAAAGCGTCTTTGTCAAAGGCATCATTGTTCCCTAGTGACAGCCTTGACAATATACTCATTTTACTGTTTTTATACGTCCCTAGCTAAACCATGCAAGACAAGGCCACTAATTTAACAGGGTGGCAAAGGGGGTTTTGCGTGACGTGTGATGGGTGCCAAATTATCAGCATGATGTGCATGATCAGGCCAAAATGGCCATGTGAGGTGATCTCCTGTCAAAATAGTATTATGATCTCTATTCTCAGATCAGTGAATACTGGTTTCTATAGTCAATATCTTTTTTTTTCAACACCAGATTTCTGAACACCCTTTTGTACAATCAATTAACTGCTGAGGCGCGTTACGCTGAAAACAAATTATATTAGAGCTGATTCATTCAATGGGTTGAGATATTGCCATGTTAACTTCTGCATTTGCACCTCATTTACATGCGTGATGGCTAACATTTTTCCCAATGATGTGTGATGGCCTAAAAAAACAGTCAAGGTGATGCATGATAAAATAAGCTTAATGCACCTATCAATGGTTTGCCCCAGGATGGGGGGGGGGGCAACCCACCCGAAATATGACATTTTCAGGTTTTCAAATGTCAATTTCCACACCCTTGGGTCTCCATTTTGAGTCAAATGCCCACCCCTGGGGCGAACCTATATAGACACTCACAACACTCAACTGAGCATCTCCAGAGTGTATTTTTTCTTGGTGACGAAATAATGGTACCCACAATATCAAACTTTGAGCAATCCGTAAGTGTAGAAGACATATTTTAGCTGGATATTTAGTGTAGCTGGCAATTTAACACACATTTTATACTCCCAATTTAAGTATCTTTGAATTTTTTCAGACAGTATTTACAGCAATGTGCAATGCCAGAACATGACATGTCATCATCACTTGAGAAGAGTTATGACCAATAAAAGGGCTGTTGTTTGTAACTGTGGTCCAGTATGAATTTTTGATCTTTTCATTATAACAAAAATTTGTGGCAGGGGAGCCTCTGGTGAAAACAAGTACTGTGTAGCATGAAAATTAATTTTTGCGGGTCCTAATTTTTGCGAATTTTGCGGATTGACCTCGATCCGCAAAAATTAGTTCCTGCAGAAAAAAAACCAGCAAAATAAAACGCCGCGAAAATTAACTCCCTTCAGTCAAATTAAAAACTCTGCTTTTAATGGACTTGTTGTGTATGGTAGGGATTGGCTTTTGTTTTGTTTTGCTGTTGTTCAGTCCCTTTGTGCAGTAAGACATTACAGTGATTACTGTATTATTCTCCATTAAATATATAAGTAGAGTGAACTTTGACTCAACATACCGTAAAGTAAAAGTTGAAAATACTATATTAAGGTTTCTTCCACTTAAATATTCTGCTACTTGAACAGAGAATCGCAAAAATTAGTTCCCACCAGAAATTTCAGTCATCTCAAACCGCAAAAATTTGTTCCTGCAAACCACAAAAAATCGCCAATCTGCAAAATAAAACTCCCGCAAAATTTTCATGCTACACCGTAAGTAGAAAGCATATTTTCAAATGAGACTTTGTGCAAGTATTGCTTCTCAATGCCGAGGAATAAAATACTTTTTGTCATAAAACTTCAAAAACTTAAAAAGCGACAAGATACTTCTAACTTTCATTCTGCCATCCTTCACAAAAAGATGAACGCATCAAAATGTGGGAAACTCATTCAAATGATTACTGGGTTTTTTCTAAGATGGCGGACCTCTTCACTCATTCCCTGGTCCTCCACCTTCCAAGATGGCGGCTGAGTCAAATTTCCCACCCTGGGGACATTCAGTATGTCAATTTCCTACCCATGTGCACTTCAGTAAGTTTAATTCCTGTGGGTTGCCCACTACCCCATTGCCCCCCCCCCTCCCCCACCCCATCCTGTTGCAAACCATAGCTACTTTGCACGTGACCTCACGGCGGCCATGTTGGTGATCAAGAACAAAAGCATTTCTCTCCTCTGGCATTCATGTAAATTCTTCGGGCAAAATTTCTATTGTATTGACCCCCAACATGGCCTCCTTGTCACGTGGTTGCAAACTAAGAATTGATACAGGGGTGGATCCAGGGGGAGGGTGCAGGGGGTGCGCACCCCCCCCTGGGATGACCTGCGGCCGCTTTCTAATTAACACTGTGCAGTCGCTTGACAGACATACAAAATCTGCTCTATTGTTTGATATGTATTCTCAGCAGTTCACATTATGTTATTTCCTAGTCAAAAGCCCTCTTCTTCGTATTCGCTTTTAAATTTTTTTACGTCATCGGTCAGTTAGTGGTGCACCCCCTCCTAAGAAAAATCCTGGATCTGCCCCTGTGATAGGTGTAAATCCCTCATATTCCCCTTTGTCACCTTGATTTAAGGAAAATATCACAAATTATTAAAACTTTCCGTCATTTCTCATTTCTTTACAACGTCCCAAAAGTTGCTCCAAAGTCAAGCTCCAAAGCGACCTTGTCTTGCTGACTTGCTACTACTCCGTTACAAACATTTTCATCCAATAAGTGTTAATTATTTAGCCTACCTCTTCCCCGCTGACTTCTTCCTCTCGTCTGTCCACGAAATCTCTGGCCTCTTCCTCGCCAAAAATTACCCCTGGCTCTGCCCGAACTCATCTTTTCGTTAAGTAATGGCGCAACACAGGCACTTTTACACTGTCGCTAACAAGTAAATTGCCCTTTTACCATCCTTCAAATCTGCCGCCATTTTTTCTGCAAGGTCCACGAAGTGACTTCTGAGACTTCATTTGATTGGTTCAGAAATAAGAGCCAATAAGAATGCTTGATCTATTGCCTAGTCGGTTTTCAAAATGGCGGCTGTCGAGAGGGAAAAGAGAAACAGGCGTGCGGAGAAACGCAAAGCAGATGATATGAGTCCACCGAAGAGAAACATTGACGAAAACTCCCCTATAATTTTGTCATTCAAAAATCACCAGAGAGAACTTGACTCAAGGCACGACAAACACGAGCGCTTAGTAAAATGCAGCCGGGATGTGACCATAGCAAGTAAAAGAATCATCTTCCTTTTACAAAGGTTCCCCGGTTGTGAAAACCCGGAACAGATTTTGAAAGAAGCAGATGAGAAGTTTTTAGAAGTCAAGGAATTCCTTAAAACGATAGCCTCGGAGTTGGAAGGCGAAGACCCGTTCTTGTTCTCACGGGCATATTCACCAGGCGTCCAAGAATACATTGAAGCTCTGTCATTCAGTCATTATCTGAGACACAAGACATTGATTTCGTTCGAACAAGTGAAAGCTTCTTTTGAGTTCTCTAGTGATGGGGGAAATGATTTGGATCTAAACCCGTTCGACTATATCCTTGGAGTAGCTGATTTGACTGGAGAATTGATGCGCCTTTGTATAAACAGCGCTGCAAAGGGGGACAAAAACACCCCTTTTGAGGTGTGTTCATTTCTTCGCGAGATACACGATGCATTCACGTCATTCGGTAACGTTTCCAGAGACCTTGCCTCGAAAGTTAGAGTTTTAAAAACAAGTATGCAAAAAGTGGAAACTGCTTGTTATACTTTAAAAGTGAGAGGTTCAGAAATCCCTCAGTTTGCCTTAGCTGAGGCGCTGAATTCTGAAGTTGTTGTTGACAGAGATCACAACTGACACTAACGTGTAGTCCGCAAATGATTCTGCACCTAATGTTTCGGCCAAACATGGTGCAGTTTGACTTGGACAGACACATGAATGGAAATTTTGTAATCCTTTTTTTTTTCTTTGTAAGGCTATCCCAATAAAATGTTTCGTTTTCCATCGCCCCACCTCTTGTGATGGTGGGTCAGTCGGTCGGGCAAAAAAAAAAAAGAATGAACACTTGAAGGGTTCTGGGCTCCAGAGAAAGCCGGGCTGCTAAGTAAGAAAGCCTGGTTACAAATTCAACTCGAAAACGTGGTCTTTTCAACTATCAAATAACAGCCTGTAAAAAAATTAAAGATAAGGACATCGCATCATACCAATTGTTAAATAAAACAAGATCGTGTGCTTGTAAATTAAAGTACTTGCTTCTTTGGCTAGTGAATCTGAAATTTATTTTTTTTTTTTTACTTTTTGAAAAAAATGGGTCAGTCAGGCAATGGGAAATGCAACATTTTATTGGGATGGCCTAAAGTGCCTTATCATGATTACAGTATCTCACTTTCATCTGACTATTGATAGGCAAAATAATACAAAACTAGTACTGATAGTCTTGCTATTTTCAGGGCGTTGGGAGTGGGCTCCATACTTCACTCTGGGGAGGTGCTACTTTTGGGGTTTATTTGGGGCCATGAGTTTCTTCACCTTACTTTGGGGGTTGTCACTTTAATACCAAGATGTACCTCGTTTTCAATTTTACTTCTGAAAGCATGCAAACGCTGATTTGTAATTCATTTCAACATTCAATCTATCTTTATTGCTACTTTTATTCTATCCTCTATTCCTTTTATCTCTCCCTTTCATGTTCTGGTTACAGCTATTAAGGACCATGTAGATACACCTAATTGCAATAACGTTGTCATAGAAAAAAGCAAAAAGCAGAAAACCAAATAGGAATTAATTAGACATGTGATTTACATTTGCGTATTTTAATAATTTAACAATTATTTAAGAAGTCATTCACAATAACAAGAAATAATTCTGTAATTC